AGGGATTAAACACCACAGGTACGACCTAATCTCTTTTTACCTATTTACGCAGTCTAGATAATACACACACACATACCTCTCCCAAGGCTAAGGCCATCAGATAGTGTGTGATCTGCTGTCCTCAAGATACCTAACTCATAGGTATCCAGAGAAGACACCTGAATCATAGATCAATCATCCAATCCTAATTGGACACATTTGCCTAGGGCAGAACAAATTCAAAGATTTAAGAAAAAGAAACATGCATTCAGAATTAAAATCAAAGTAAATTGCACAAACTGAAGTATCGTTTCCTAAACTAGATCTAGGATCTTTAGACTTCACTTGCATGCACCCTTGATTCTTCCTTTCGCAGCGCTGTCAGTGCTTGAAATTATGGAATCTTGAAGAGTTTCACAAGTATTTTATATTCAACTTGCAACAATATCTGTCAACACTCACAGTAAAAAAAAAACAAAAATTACGAAGATTGAAAAATTCTAGATCTAAAAAATCTCGTCCATCCATTTTACAACCCACACAATTAACTAAAATAGAAATCCCTTTTTTTAGTAGTTGTCCATCTTCTTACTTATCCAATGGTGAAAATATGTTCTCACTTCCATGAAATTGATCCACGTGGTTGCCTTCAAAAAATACCTAAAAAATTGAATAATTACACTTATCAGTAAAAATAATTTAACTTAGGCTTGGTTACTTCCTTATTTTGAATTGGACTATATTTCACACTCTTCCGGTCCATTTTTCCGTAATTGTCAATCCAAAAAGATTTAAAATAACATAAAATAATACAATATATATATAATTTAGTGCTAACACAACTTTAACTTAAAAATAAATGTGTCAAACATGTTCTTTTTTAACAAATAAACTGTGTTTTTTTTTTTAATTGAATAAATTGTTGATGGATCCACCATTGAGCAAGTTTGCAAACTAGTTTACGTTATCAACTCAAATTGCAAGTGAAGTATCATTATGGCAATAGACAGCAGAACGTGCAGCATAAGACACTATAAAAATACATAACTCATGGTTCAACCCTGTCCCCATTGCAGGCCAATAGAAAGAAAGAAAGGAAATGGAGGAAGAAAAAACTTGGGAAGCTACGCTGGTATTTGTTTCAACATTCTGTTGTAATATTATGATTGGATTGAAGTTGAAGAGTATTTCATGGGTCCCAAAATCATGTCATGTATGACTTATCTTCCTATTCTTTTTTCTTTTTTTCTTCGCCTTTGTCATTTGTCAAAAGTTAAGAGGAATATTTTTATTTAAATATTCGCCTTGGATCATGGAATTTCATTTGCTCAAATGGCCCACGGTTTTTATTACCTGATAAAATATGCGAAATGAATGTTAGTTCTTGTGTACAAGAGAAGATAACTAATAAAATACACATTACTGAATGAGGTAGGATGCGTTGATATCGGTGTCAAATTTAAATTTTGACATCTTATCTAAGAGCTATTAGATCAAAAAAGATCAACGATTCTAATTTGTAAGCATGTGACATCATTGATCTTTTTTGATCTAATGGCTCCTATATGAAGTGTCAAAATTTAAATTTGACACTGATATCAAAAGATCCTACCTCTTACTGAATTGGGCTTTTTTACCCTTATAACCTTTAATTAATAATTAATTACCAATTTGACCTTCATTTGAAACTAATTCGAAAATTTAACCCCTTCAGAAAACATAACACCAATCTGCCCCTGTTTGACCGTTGACCATGAAGCCTACCCGGGTACATCCCTCCCTACCCTGGTATTTTTTGAAATTTTTTATCTACCCGGGTAGAGAGGGGTGTACCCGGGTAGAGTTCTTGAATCTGGAAAAATGGTTGAATTAGTTACCCGGGTAAGAAGGGTTGTACCCGGGTAAACATCCAGAGTAGCGTTTTTATATAACTGAGATGCTAAAAAGTTTCTTTTTCCAATTCATATTCTCCTCGGATTTATATTTCTATCAGGTTAATGAAAACGCAAAAAATTGAAATTAATACAACATTACATGTAACTGTATCCCCTATTTCTCTAATCTTCCTCAACATCATTTGGATTCAGCTTCCAGTATAAGAGTCCCAATTCTGCAAAACTCACCATTTTTCTGCAACGTCACAACTAAGTAAAACTATAGATAGATAGATAGAGATAGAGTAATGATCTGCTAATTGGTTGATGGAAACAAATTCATTAGGGCTGCCATGACGAGGAAGCCTTGGATCTTCGTTGCTATCGTCCATGAACTATGCCTGTCACAGTTTTTTTCATTTATATAAAAACGCAACTCTGGATGTTTACCCGGGTACAACCCTTCTTACCCGGGTAACTAATTCAACCATTTTTCCAGATTCAAGAACTCTACCCGGGTACACCCCTCTCTACCCGGGTAGATAAAAAATTTCAAAAAATACCAGGGTAGGGAGGGGTGTACTCGGGTAGGCTTCATGGTCAACGGTCAAACATGGGCAGATTGATGTTATGTTTTCTGAAGGGGTTAAATTTTCGAATTAGTTTCAAATGAAGGTCAAATTGGTAATTAATTATTAATTAAAGGTTATAAGGGTAAAAAAGCCTACTGAATTGTCATTAATGAAATTACTATCATATTGTTATATCATTTAGGGCAATACATATTAAACAGATGAATCTTTCAAATTATGATTTAATAAATTTAATCAGTTAAGTTTATGATTAAAATTTGTTCAAGGATTAATTAAATCAATAAATATTTAAACCAAAAAGATAATCTATTCAGAACCTAACTAGCTTAATGGGCTTATCTGGTCTAATTTTTAAAACATGATATTTAAAACAATGCAATACAAGAACACTTCTAAAGTTGTGCTAATAATAGCTAATAGGTGTTAATTCTTCTTTTTCTTTTTTAATGGAATACTAGTTATTATTCTTGTGCAGAAGGAGTTGATGCATGTATTAATTTAATTTTTTTGAAAATTAGTCATGTAAAATTTTGAAATCTCTGCAATTATAAAGGAAAACTTCCTTCTGTTTTTCTTTTCTTTTAAATATCATTATTATTTAACCATACATAAGGAGTTTCCTCCCCTGCAGATTAGTTATTAAGATTATTATTTAAATGACTTGATTTAAAAAACTGTGAATCACATGACTATTTTTATTTTTCAAATTTTTGTAATACATATTAGGGGAGAATATGAATTAGTATTATTAATCATATTTGTTGAACTCAAATTTTACATGAACAAACTTAAAATAATGAGTTATACCAAAAAAGGAAAAAACAAGAACATAAGAAAGACAATCTAACTTTTGGGTTACTTAAAGTATGAATGTTTTTTTACCAAAAAAAAAACAGTATGAATGTTCATATGTATCCAAAAAATAAAATAAAAAAGTATGAATGGTCATAGAATTTTTTGCTTTAACCTAAATCTGGATATTTCGACAATCATAATTTAGTCATTATATTTAGTTAAGTTATAAAATTTTAGAAGTAACACATTAAAATTAATGAATATTTTACGGTATATTTGAAAACAAATTAGATATGATTCATTATGTAAAATCAATTAACTTAAGTTAATAAATCTTATAATTAATCATTAAATTTAAATTTATAAGATTTAAAATATTATTTAAATGTGGAGTAAGATTAAACTAATCGGAACCATTCAACCAAGCCTTAAAAATATACTGAATCTAGTTTCTATGACCCAGAACCAATTTAACTTCAGGTCAAAATAATTATCTAATTAAGTGAGATCATGAATAACTTAAACAGAATCTCGAATTACACTTAATAACCTCAAGTGCATCACTTATGGACAAATATAACTGTCAAGTTTTAGGCTCCAGCACATGCACCAATTTATGAGAGTAAGGTGTTTTAAATAATATTGTGCAAACATGTTTATATATACATATGTGTGTATGTATGTATAACTATATAACTACGTATAACTATATACATATAATATATGTATATATTATTCTTATTAAACAGCACTATGAAGTCTTTTTCAAACAATTGTAATTAACTACAGTTACATAACTCCCCAATCAACGACGGAGCTACGGCCAAGCCAGCAGGTGCCTTGGTACCTTTTTTTTTTTTTACTTATTATATAATTAATTATAATTAATTAAGGTAAAAATTGTAATTTGGCATCACCTAAATAGAAAATTAAATACTCAATACAAAGTAACAACAAACTATCTAAACGCAAACAAATAATAAGGAACATGTATAGTATGGTTATTTTTATATTTTACCTTTTTTTATTTTTTACCATGTATATTTTTTTTCCTGCTTTATTCTTATCAATTATGTTATTTATTCTTACTCCTATTATTTTAAAAAAAGACTTCTAAACTTAATCACAAAAATGATTAGTTGATCTATTTCTAAACTTAATCACAAAAATTTTACCTTAGAATAATGTTTGGCTCATTACTTATTATGTTGTCGGAGGAAAATGAAATTCTCATGTTTGAAATGTTTACCGAAAAGGTTAGTGCATTTTTATATGTTTACTTTGATATATAATCAACGATAATCGTTCATTTAATTTTCAATATTATGTGACATTATTTAGTACATAATTTAAATAACTATGTTAGAATTCATAGTAAATTTTTTCTTTGATAAATTTATATAATTATAATAAATATTTTAATAATTTAATATGTCAAATTTTTTGACACTACCTAAATTTTTGGGCGGCTCGGCCACTGTCCACAATTGATTCAGAACTACTCTCTTCTTGACATTTATCTTGGAGCCATTGTAAATTGGTAATTATGTTATTATTACATCAATAGGGTGATGTGTTCAAATTAAAAAGGGTTAGAGTTTAAGAGGTGGCACGCACCTGTTGAATTGTCGTGCTGGCACTTTGTAACCAACATCATTACACTTGTCTTAGCAAAAAGGTAAATGGAACACTAAGCATGTTCCACACTACAAGAGAAAAGACAAGAAGGGGAAAACATAGCAAAAGAAAAAGAAAAAAGAAAAAAGAGAGAGAGAGAGAGAAGAAGAAGATAAAGTGAGAGACACTGAGATGCAAACCGCGAACAAAGAAGCAAAGCATTACAAAAACCCGAGTTGTGCGGGTCAAATCACCCGCTTGTCTTTATACGAGTTACAAAGCAAAGAGTAGTGTCAATCAGCTTCTTCTGCTCTCTCTTTCTCCTCAGTTCTTTCTCTTTCACTCTTCAGTGCTTTCCTTAGATCCAGGTATGACCCGTGTCGTTCACTCTCTGTCTGTTGCTGTGCGGGTTTTTGTTGTTTGCTCAGTTTAACTCAGCACTAACCGTGGAATCTTCCTTTTTCTCATTTTATTTGTTCATTCCTGTCTTTATATTCGTTCTGTTTTATTGAAGCTTTGTTTTTGGTTCCATAAAGTGGTAAACGAATAATAGTTTGGTTTGTGAAAGAGGTTTCTAAGGCCTAGTTGAGTGCAGGGGCAGTCCTAATGGGAAATCCCGGGTTCAAGGTTTTATTTTTCTGTTATTTGTTCAACTTTTCATGAAAAACAATTATGGGTTTTGTGTCAGTGGAGCTGGAGAGTTAGGGCATGTCTGTATTCTCTGATGGAATCCATGGCTTTTCCTCCCCCTATCCCTTCATGCCCCCTCATACTTGTTAATGTTCTGCCATTGTTATTGTTATTGTCAGAGAATAGTATAAATCATTAAAAAGTCTTCACTCACTAGCTTTAAGTTTTTGGGTTGAATTGGTTATTTATATGGTATCAGAGGCTAATGTCTTGTATTCGATTCTCACCGCCCCACTTTCTTTCTAGTGGAATTTCTTTCTTCGCATAGGTAAGTGGCCCTTGCATTCCACTCTTCAAGTCCAGTGGGCTCTCGTGTGAGGGGGCGTGTTAGAGAATAGTATAAACCGATAAAAAGCCCTCACTCACTGGCTTAAGCTTTTGGGTTGAATTGGTTCTTTACAATTATTATTATTTTTGGCTTTTTTTCAAGTTCCCATTTTGTTTTTTCACCCTGTTATTTCACTGGGTTTTGCATTATTAATTATTGATATTAATAGTATGTTTATTATCCACGAAAAAGAGTGAAATTAGATAGACACTTTAGTTCATTGCATTGTCCTGATTGTCAATGTAGTTGCTGCGTTTTGTTTCATAAATGAGATTAGATAAAATTGGAAACTTGGCCTTAAAATTTTGTTCCCTTTTGTTTCTTTCTTTTTAATTTTGATTTGTGATTTGCATGGCAGGCTGTTGATAGTCAGTGTTCTCTACGGACAGAAAATGTTGTATATGAGAGATTTGTATTGCTAACAGTTTGACTGCACAGTTGAATTAGTATGCTATAAGGAGAACTCTGCTACTTGTAAAATGATGTCTAAGATTTGATATAAGGAAAAAATTGAAAATCATGGAAGAAATACAGTCTCAATCAGATAACTATAGGTCTTCATCATCATCAGCTAGCAGCCCGGCAAGTAGGGTGCCATCAAGTAACTTTTTCTACCTGCGTAAACCTGGTTCACTCAGGCAGCCCATCTCATTTGAGGATTCACCTGAGTGGGAGGATACTGATATCGATGTTAGAGTTGAGGAAGGTGGTGACTCTATTAATGTTGCAACAACACCAGCTTCTCCCTCTCTCTCTAAGCTCAACAGTGGGTCCCTGCCATCCCCGCATCTACCGGAGGGTGGTGCTGTTATTCCACGGAAAATCGCTGGTGCTTCTGTTGCCTGGAAAGATTTGACTATTACAATAAAGGGAAAAAGGAAGTACTCTGATAAGGTTATCAAGAGTTCAACTGGTTATGCGTTACCAGGGACAATGACTGTTATTATGGGTCCTGCTAAATCAGGGAAATCTACTTTATTACGAGCCATTGCAGGTATTGAAACATGCTTCCTTTGGCCTTTCCTATTAAGCATTTCATGATCTTCCCATGTATATTTAAATAGTCAAACCTAAAATTGAATTTTCTCTTCACTTCAGGAAGATTGCATCCTTCAGCCAGGATGTATGGTGAAGTGTTTGTGAATGGAGCAAGATCGCACATGCCCTATGGATCATATGTGAGTTCAGTATCTCATTGGCTGTTTAATATCTGAATTTCTTTTGTGTTTATAGTGGTCAATCTGATTGTACCTAATCTACCTTTCCTTCGTAGCCATGCTTTCGTATTGTATATTGATTTTAAGGTGAGCAATCATTATTGAAGAATGGATGTGTAAGTAAGTTTAAAAATATCTTTGCAAAGCTTTAGTCTTTGAGAAATAAGCATTTTCTATTTCTGATTTTTACATTGTGCATTGGTGCACTTCTTAACAAGTTAAATTATTTGCACTTCTTACTCGACTATAGAAGTTTATTTGCATAAGAGGGACCACTAGGAGATTACATGATGCTAGATGTCTGAGACTTGTTCTTTACCTGGTTTATAATTGTTGTTCATTTTTAGGTTGCACTACTTATACGTGTATAATGAACAAAAAAATTTCTTAACTTTCAGGGTTATGTGGAGAGAGAAACAACTCTGATTGGATCCCTCACTGTCCGGGAGTTTCTATATTATTCAGCCCTACTTCAACTTCCTGGTTTCTTTTGTCAGAAAAAGAGTGTGGTAGAGGATGCTATACACGCAATGTCTTTAGGTGATCGCGCAAATAAACTCATAGGTGGACATTGTTATATGAAGGGACTTCCTAGTGGGGAGAGAAGGCTTGTTAGCATTGCCAGGGAGCTCGTGATGAGACCACGTATATTATTTATAGATGAACCTCTTTATCATTTGAACAGGTTTCCTTTTATTGTAATAATTCTCTATCATTTGCTTAATTTTATTCCACATTTTTGAGTGATTTTTGTTAACACCCTTTTCATCATTTATTAATTTTTTTCAGTGTCTCGGCACTTTTAATGATGGTTACATTGAAGAGACTTGCTAGCACTGGTTGCACTCTGATCGTAACTATCTATCAGAGCAGTACAGAAGTCTTTGGTCTTTTTGACCGTATATGTTTGCTTTCAAATGGAAATACCCTGTTCTTTGGAGAAACATTAGCTTGCTTGCAGGTAACTTACCTTCTATACCTCCTTGCTCTTGTGCATGAAATTTGATTAGGATGAGTTAAGTAATTGCGTTTTGTCTACCAAATAAAAAATATAAGGGCATTGATTTTTTAATTTTTATTGCTCCCTAAGGTTATTATTTATTAGTTAAAAGTGACCATTGGAAGATGAGTGTGTTTCAAGATTGTCAAGAACTTCCTTTTTTTGCTAACCTTCTTTGGTAGTGAATGGAATACGTATCTTGTTACTGACTGCTATGATTTTATGTTGATGAAGCACTTCTCAAATGCTGGATTTCCTTGCCCAATCATGCAAAGTCCTTCTGATCACTTTCTACGCGCAATTAATACAGATTTTGACAGGATAATTGCGATGTGTAAAAACTGGCAGGTAATTGTTTCAAGTGGATTGCTGATTGATGTGTTCACTGCATTATTAATGTTAGATTATACTTTTTTATGATATGTTATTAACACTATCATCGTAATAGGATGACAATGGAGATTTTTCTTCTGTTAACATGGACACTGCTGTTGCTATACGCACACTTGAAGCAACTTATAAGTCATCTGCAGATGCAGCTGCTGTTGAAACTATGATTCTTAAACTCACTGAGAAGGTATATTATAACTTCTGAAACAGAGGAAAACATATATAGCTTCTTAAATTATTTGAGTTAGATCTTCTGTTAATGTGGACTGGTAGTTTCACCATTTCTCCCTTCTTTCACAAATACAGTATTACATGTTGGATGTTGCCAATGCAGAGCTATCATTCACATTGATTTTAATGTATTATGTGTACTGATCATTTGAACAATTATGTTTAGTGGTAGATTGAAATTTTTTATCACAATAACAATTATTCATAGATAGCCCAATACAGACAGTAAAAGATTTACAATTTTGTAGAACATTCAATCCTATAATCTTAATGTGGATGAGCATGCTATAAATAGGTTAGGCAAATATTATTGGTTTGGAACTAACGGGTAAGAAAACCAAGCTTCAATTGACGGCCATTATATATATTTGTTTTTTGAAATTTGTAAACTGAGACATTCTGCATAGGCCAATGGATAAATACTATAGAGATAGTTGAAGGACTTGGGCTGACTTAGGATTTTATCTTGTAGAGAAATGACTAGCTTATTTATCTTGTATGGGATTTGCAAATCATATCCTCCTTAGAGATTTATTTTAGGCTTTATTTTGCTCTAATGCATTTAAGGCCAGTCAATGTTGGGATGTTAACTTTTGGTGTCTTTTTTAAACCTGCTTGATTTCCCAGGAAGGTGCAGCTCTCAAAAGCAAAGGCAAAGCTAGCAATGCTACTCGGATAGCTGTCCTGACATGGAGATCTTTATTAGTCGTGTCAAGGGAATGGAAATATTACTGGCTTCATCTTATTCTTTACATGCTTCTCACTCTGTGTATTGGTACTGTATTTTCTGGTCTGGGGCATTCTTTGTCTTCTGTTGTGGTGAGTCTTGACATGACAATTGCATTTTTTCTTTCAATGTATATCTCTTGTAGTTCATATCTACATTTACATATGCCTACAATTCTAGATATACTCATGATGTGTATGAATTAAATTTTACCTTCTCTGGCCTTGCAGACAAGAGTTGCAGCAATTTTTGTATTTGTATCATTTTGTTCCCTTCTAAGCATTGCTAGGGTGCCTGCACTTATGAAAGAAATCAAGGTAATTTTGTGCCCGTTTCACTTTACCAAAATTTATTGGTTTGTGGTTTGCCTTGATATGCTTATTATGCATAAAATGAAGTACCTTTTGGCAAGTGTTTTTAAATTGTTTTCATTGTGGATTATTTCTTATGTATAATGCATTGGTCTATGCAGAATTACAGATCTCAACCACATAACATAATGGCTTAATTTATTTGGTGATTTTACTAGCTCATTATAAGTTTAAATCAACTTATGGATCGATCTTCTTTTTAATAGCACTGAGACTGGCAAAAGTATTGTAATTTCATGGTAGAAACAACCTATTGTTTGCATTTTAGGTGATAAACTATGCAGTAACTGTATGACTATGAAAATTGCTGACAGAATGTATTGAGGTGGTAAGTTATATATTTTTCAAAGTACAATTAATTGCTAGTATTTGTAGTGTCTCTTCTCTGTGTTTAGTAAATCTGGCATTTGGTACTCCTCAAAATCGAACTTTGAAAATTGAAACCAAGAAACATGTAGCAAGTAATATGATTGTGGAAGGTTTCGTCTTGTCTCTTCCGTGTTCGGTGAACAAGTACTTCATATGTGATTCCTCCAAGAGCAAAACTGAAAAATAGATTACAATTTACATGCTTAAATATATTATTGGTTGTAATATACATATCCTTTTTATTTTATTTTAAGGATTGGATAATGGATTTACTACAGTTTCACTCTGCACTCTTTGAAAAGTTGACGAAGTTAAAATAATATGTTCTTTTGCAGATATATGCCTGTGAAGAATCAAATCAGCATTCCAGTACATTAGTATTTTTACTTGCGCAGCTCTTATCCAGCATCCCATTTCTTTTTCTCATCTCCATTTCCTCAAGTTTAGTCTTCTACTTCCTCGTAGGGCTGGAAGATCAGTTCAGCTTGTTAATGTACTTTGTGCTGAATTTTTTCATGACTCTGTTAGTGAATGAAGGAATTATGCTAGTTGTGGCTACCTTGTGGCAAGATGTTTTTTGGAGTGTCTTGACACTGTTGTGCGTACATGTGAGTTCCATGGTCCATTTATTTTGTAGACGTAAAATATTAACAAAAGTTACATGCTGTTCAACTACTACCAGTCTATATTTTCACTTCATGGCCATGATTACACAAGGACTTATGTATTTCCTGAACTAACTACTGACGCATATGTAATGCCATTTCAGGTGGTCATGATGCTTTCGGCAGGCTATTTTAGAATTCGAAATGCTTTGCCTGGACCAGTGTGGATGTATCCAATGTCCTATATAGCCTTTCATACATACTCTATTCAGGTAATTAGATATGTACTGCTAGAGAGTTAATTCTGAATTGACCATGACTTTTATGTTTGATTCTGATTTTTGTTGAGATTTAAGTTCAAAAACTTAGAGCCCGTTTGTTTGCACTTTTGAAAAAAAGTAACTTTTATCTCTTTTTTATTTTAGAAGTCCTTTTTACAAAAGTTAAAGCTATTTATATTTTTATAAAAATATTTAGATTTTGAAAAAAATATTTGACTTTTGACTTCTGCTTTTTTTAAAAGTTAAAATTTTTAACTTCAGAAAAAAGTAGGTTTTTGACTTTTTTTGTGACTTCTGCTTTTTTTTAAAGCAGACATCCAAACGAACTAAAAATGAAAAGTTCTTTTTTTCAAAAAAAAAAAGCAACTTCTTGAGAAAAAAAAGCTCATCCAAACGGGTCATCGTTATAGTTGACTTCTAAATTTTGTAGATGATTTAATCTTTTTCCCTAGATGAATTTGTATTGAAGCATTTACTTGTCTTCATCACATAGGGGCTATTGGAGAATGAGTACCTAGGAACCTCCTTTGCAGTTGGGCAGGTAAGGAGCATATCTGGATTTCAAGCTCTCCAAAGTGTGTACAATATCTCCCTCGACAAGAATTCCAAGTGGAAAAATTTGTTGGTTTTGTTTCTTATGGCAATTGGTTATCGTATTTTTGTGTTCATTTTATTATGTTTCTTCATAGGGAGAAAAATATCCCTTTTTAAAAGTTTGAGGTGTATTAAGGACACAACAAATACAAGTTGATGGGAACGTTGTTCATCCATTTACATTGTAATATTCCTTTTGATCGAGGTTTGCTTCTTGCCTCTAGTTTTGTGAATTTTTCTTTGACTAATGAAGAGCAAATATGAGATTTTTTATAGCTCTGTCTTGATCTCTCCCAAGTGTCTTGGTCAATACTTGATGTAAGTTAGTTGTTTGTTGTGATGAATGTTTGGTTTTTGACGTAACAAACTCCAAATGCATTGAAATTTGGGTTTTAGGTGCGTCACTAATGGGGTATGGTCCAATATATATTTGCCCACTTGTTCCCTTGACATGGCTCAGTCTTTCATCGATGTTTGTAGAACGTGTTGCATAAGCGTGGGTGGGTTGTTATGTTAGGTGTTGTACAATATCTTGTAATTGACATTAGTACTTCTAGGTCTAGTAGAAATTTTAAAGGAATAAACAACTAAAAGAGTGACAATTATCAACCATTAGGTATCAAGGGAGGAGAAAATGTTATTTTTCATCTTGCTTGATTATGAAGGAAAGTTAATTTCTAACTTCCACCAAATCATTAATTTCTAACTACCACCGTCCATCAAATAGAAAACAAAGCCGTACACCAAAAGCAATGAATTGTACTGAATACTATTGGTACAAGTGGTAAGGAGTTTGTGTTCCTTAATTAGAGGCCTTGAGTTTGAGCTCTGAGAATGAAAAAAATGGTTTTGGGAGAGCTGCCTCCGCTTTGAGTTCGATAGTACTTAAATCAGACTAGTCCGAAGGATGAAATTGAGGAGACTAAAAAAAAACAATGAATTGTAAAAGTAGAGGAAAGTAGGGTGCAAATGACCAGACGTTTTATCTAGGTTTATAGCTTAGCTTACATCATATCGGGTTTGGTATAATATATTCAATAAAATAGAATAAACTCGAACCTTAAAAATAGCTCATTTAGGTTTATAGTCTAGCTCTATTTTTATAAAATCAGGTTACAAGCTGCCTGCTTGTCGGGCCGAGAGGTGCTTTGGTATAATATAGGAGCAAAAAGCATATGAATAACAAGAAAATATTCCTTCGAGGAGCAATTAATCTTACTTAGGAGCAACTCTTCCCAAGATGCGCAAGCACACACGTCAAGCAATACAGGGTTAATATGAGCCCTAGATTATCGTCCTCAAGGAACAAATGTAAAAGTTATGTTTTAAAAGGAAATCAAAAAATAGAAAATAGAAAAAAAATCAAAGAGCAGTTGTTCTTGGATAGAATCCATCAAGGAACATTTTCTATTAGCTAGTCAAACAAGGCTAACCATTCTAAGTAGACTAATGTCGGGTGGCTTTCTTAACCTTCACAGAACTTTAAATGTGACGAGATAAACAAATAAGAGATTCGAATTTTTGTAGAAGTAAAAAACAGGTGCCAGAAAGAACAAAGAACAATAAACTAACATCGAGTCAAATTTTATCAAGAGCAATTGTGAATATTGAGTAATTTAAAATAAAAGTGTTCAGGGAGAAAAAACAATAGGTTTTGGGATTAATATTTTCACCCTCTTGGTTAATCCTGTAATGTTACATGAACTCAAACATGAACTATGCTTCTGTCACCATTACGGCTTATTCCGCATAATCTTGAGTAGTGGCCTGTTGCACCAAATCACACTTGAAATTCTTCAATTCAATAATCTAGGAGATCAAGTTTGCATTCTCAAAAGAGTATGGCTGAAGGGATCACTAGGAAAAGTGATTTACACGAGACATTGTTTCCCTTTTTGGATATTCCCCTTAATCAGAGTAAAATATCCTAAGATTTCTAACTTCGCTCCACACTACTTAGTGAGGTTTCATCGAACAAGTGGTCCTAGGATGAGGTTGCAAACCATAAAATCAGATCATTAAACTAAGAAACAACTCATAGTTCATTAAGGAAAATAAGGTTTCATTACAAGAAAATTCTAAGACAAAGAGGGTTACTTCTACCTCACCCTCAACCTACTTAAGAAATTTAGCTCATAAGGAGCATGATAAAAACTAGAAAAAGGGTAAATACCTTTTTTGGTCCTCAGCAAATTTCACGATGCCCGCTTTAGTTCTTCACAAATAAAAAGGTTATTCGTGGTCCCTAAGAAATTCAAAATGGACCCATTTAGTTGAAATCGCGGTCCCTCATAAATTCAAAAAAGACCACATTAGTTCCTCAAAAGGACTAAAATGGATACACTTTGAATTTCTTAGGGACTACAAATAGCCTTTTTATTTGCTAGGGACTAAAGCGGGCATCGTAAAATTTGTTGAGGATCGAAAATGGTATTTACTCTTAGAAAAATACAAAGGGAATACTTCCCACCCTAAATTGTCTATTGCCCAAGGTTGAAGATGATCCTCTCGCCCTCTCCCTTTTTGTAAAGGGTATTAGCTTGCAATCCCAGCCACTTTTTGGATCAAAGGTTCACATTTTTCAAATCCTCTCCAATCAGAGCATTGCTCCATGTCAGCTCAGCCCTAACATGTTATGGTCCCCTTCTTCTTTTGCACAAAATTCTGAGCCGATTCTTCACACTAAGGTGTTGTTCCCACATTCTCTGCTGTTGCTGACGTGTCTGCATCTGATTAGTTGCTTTTTCTGCTCCCGTACTGTAACTGATTTCTTGTCTCCTTTTTGTATATTATGTTTTTTTTTTCCTTCTAGTTTCTTTCTTTGCTGAATTGGGCTTCTTCTTGGTTTGGGTCTTAGATTTCATGCAAGAGCAATTCAACCCATTGAGTTCACAATTAATAAATCTAGCTAAATTTTCCAGTACTATGCTAATTCCCATATTTATGATGGCTCCAGCTCAATTTATCAACAAACTGTATTTAGGAGTAAAAACTGAGTTAGAGAAGATATTTTACAAAATAAATTTGAATTTGAGGAGTAATTAACCTATCAATGAACCTCTTTTGAAGCCCATAACTTGCCTATGCTTTTTTTAATAATTTTTGAAAACTTTTAAATAATTTTAGGCTAAGCCTTTAGATTTTTTTAATATAGGTCAAATAGACCTATTATTTAGTTTACATAGGCTAATAGAATATGTCAGACTCAAAATATTTTATATATGTATGACTTATTTAAACTCAAACCTAAACTAACCTAATTAATTTATGGGTTTAATAAGAGTTATGTTGTAGGAAAAGTGATTGTGTTATGTTATAGAGATTCGTTTTGCGTGCCAGAGTTTTTTTTTTTTTTTTTGGTTTCAAAAATTGTGGGTCCCACAAAATGTTGTGTGTGTAGGAAAGTTGTTGTGGTCATGTTAAATTATAGATACAAAACCCTTAATTTATACCCCTAACCCTTAGGGGGAAATGTTTCATAATAATTATTTTCGTGCTTTTTAGCATTTTTCATTCCGAAAAGAAAGTTGGCTAAACCAATCAGATAAGGTCACAAGTCATAAGAGCCTATTCGAATTAGGGCCTCGAAAAGACCACAGGAGGCCCAGCACAACTCAGGGCATCACCAACCCAAAACCAAATAATGAATGATAGCATAGTACATTCATTTTCTTTTGGTCGCACGCAGCATATTCTCATTCTCACAGTTCCTAAATTCTTTTTTCTTGACGTGACTAAGTCTATAAAAATTGTAATCTAAGATTAAAGTTTGAAAATCGGAAAGTTCGTTGATCTAACATTAACTGATGATGGAATTAATCAATATTAACTGGAATAGCAATTCTAACTTCCGTGTGTCATCTCTTCTTCTTCTTCTTCCTCTTCCCGCGTAAAACCCCCCAATTCCCGTGTTCCTCTTCCATGACGACGTCGTTTTTGAACGGCGAGAGAGTTGTGGTGCTATTGTTCATCTCGTGGATCCTCTACTCCCTCCCTCTCTCTCTCCTCTTCCATGGTGTCGCTCTCTCTCTCCTCACCATCGCCTCCTTCTTCCTCGAGATCTCCTTCGAGTCTTCCAATTTTTCCCCTTCCCCTTTCCAAACCAGGTAGGTATTCTCTCTCTCTATCTCTCTTCCTCTCTCTCTCTCTCTCTCTCTCTATGTATCAATTGATCGGTTAATTCCGTTTCAGGCCGGGTGCTTCATCGGGGATTCTGCTCGGCGCTGTCACTCTCCCTTCTCTTATTCTCTCCAAGTTGGTACAGTCATCACGGGGATTCTCACTCGCTCAATTTCAACTCGAAGGTGCTGCTTTTCCCTTCATTGCAATCCCTTTTATCATTCCTCTTCCTATATTACGCGATTCATTGCCTGTTATTTCGCGATTTCGTGATATGTAAATTTTTTTAATGTATAGAGCTTCACTATCTGACATTGCAATACTGGGCCACATCTGCCAGCGTCGTCGGTGTGCTTTTGTTCCTCGCCTTGTCTCTACGGCGTCGTTCTCATTGGGGTGTTAGGTTTAGCTTATGTTTCATTTTCTTTCAAGCTCTTGTCTGCATTGCGGCGCTTACCACAAAATCTCAACTTGGTAATGTGTTGCGTTGAAGCTTTTTTGGACTTTTGAATCAAATAAATATTCGTGTTATATACGCAAGGAATATGCATTTAACTTATACTGTCATTGTCATTGCCTCTTCCTTTGCAGGGTTGAACCCGGCACTGAAGCTTTCCTGGCTCTTTTGTCATGGATTAGCATCCGTGAAGTTGATTCAGTATTTCCTCAGAACTTTCCCTTCTTGTGCTTCCATCGGTACGTTTTACACCTGTTCTCTTGGTCGCCTAATTTTCTTGGTATTTGGGTTTTTACTCCTTTCACAACTGATATGGGATTATAAGTTAAGAGAGAAAGCTAAGCTTGCAATTGATCTCTTTCTATAGTTCATGGAGTCTTTGAATTTGATGGAATGGAAATCAGTCATTCATTCGGCTGAATAGAAATAATTTTCACCGATCATAGTTTCATTTTTCAAGTAACATACATACACTTTACATGATGAGGTTGTTGCTTAACTATGAAAGATGAGTGCACTTGCTATTTTACCAAATCTGATCCATGGAGACAATGTCATATCAATTGATCGGCAAATAAACATTATAAATGAACAGGGTTGCTGGAATTGTTTGTACTTTGGTCAATAGCTTTGTTCATTTCTCACCCTTATCTGAAATATGCATAAATGCTGCATTACTGCCAGCACAATAGTATGGTTGATTAGGGTCTTTAGTTTTATGTTCTTTTAATGGTCATAGTTTCCCTTCTGATTCCAGGCGAAGCATTTTTGGTGTCTGCTGGTATTGTTCTCTATTTTGGTGACATGTTGTTTCTTACTGTTAAAAAGGTTAGTGTTTTTTAAAATCATATTGTTTCTTGATAAATCACCCGTTTATATATTTTATTGGTGATTACATTGTTTGAACAGCTACGTGGACTATTGGTGTCATCAGATTTGGTTGCTGCAGAATATGAAATAAGTCGAAGTGAAATAAACATTATAATTCAGGTATTGATCCTTAAGTCAAAAAATTTCTTTTTAGTAGTATAGCTAGATCAGTTAAAGTTGTCTACTGTTACTGCAGGGGATTGTGCTTGGTCTTCTGCTATTTCCAATAGCTTTGAAATATATTCTCCAAATATGGGAGTGGTCTATAAATACAGCTTCTGCTGAAGCAAGAAGATACTATGAGATTGGGAGATCTCTTATGTTTATTGCTTCCCTTGGATTTGTCCTGATCGTGGTTGTACCATCATGGATGCAGTTTGTGAGGGACTTTGACACGCATCCTTTTTTCTGGTATCACATCAATATCTAATATAGGTGGATTATTTTGTTAGTTGCCTGTTACTGATGTTTTCAGATGTCATCTGATTCTGATATATTATGGAAGTGATAATAGTAGGATGCTAGGAAAATAGTTTTATTAGCTATAAATTGAACAGGATATATGACATGATGCATGCTTACATGTTATGGGATAAGGTAATGTAAGCTGTTTATTCTACCAGAAACTGTGGAATGAAGAATAGTGTCATAGCATCTGATTCCACTGCAATTCACACACATCTGCAGAATGAAGCATGTAGATTGCCACCTAATATCGACTACTGTTTTTATATGAATGCGGGTATCTTAAAAATCTGAACACAATTCTCCAAACAATGTGGTTTCTTATGTTTGCTGTACGTGCAGCCCGAGTATTATGCCCTCCTGTATCATGAACAGGTATCATATTGTATGGAGAGAAACTAGTAGTGATAGCAGAAACTGAGTATAATTCAACTAAATTTAGAGTTTCTGACAATTCAGTTGCTAAGCCTTGTCTAGGTTTGTTAAAATACAATTATGACTATGATGATAGTCTCAGGTTCAAATTATTTTGTGTAAAACAACTGTTTCTCACTTTATATTATACCATTTCACTTTTGAAACATCTCTTTGCAGGGTGCTATCCTTTGTTTTCTCAGAGCCATCCAAAAGACTGTCATTATGTATCTATTGGGTGTGTATAATTTGTGTTTCTGTTTTGCGATTCTATAACATCTCCAAGAACAGTAAGATTGAGAGAATTCTGTTGCGGAAATACTACCATCTGGTGGCAGTCTTGATGTTTTCGCCTGCCCTTATCTTCCAGGTGATTTGGGTCTAAATGGTTGCATGTTATCTATGCTGCTATAGAAAAGGGATTCTGCCACTTGGTATCCATTATCCATTTTCTTTTTCATAAAACTCCAGTGCCTTGTTTTTGATATAATTGAATGTAGGGGAAAAAAATATCCAAACACTCCCTAGACTTTACCTCATTTTGAAATAGTCACCATTAACTTTCAAATCTGGATGAAAGGTCCTTTACTGTAACTTTCTGAAACTTGTAAATAGACCCTTCCATATATATATGTTAAATGAAAACCATCCATCATATGACTTCTACCTATTGATTAATGCACATGATAATCTCTAATTTGTTCATATTACTTTGTGAAAAAAATTAATTTTTTTTGCTCATTTTAATTTATTTTTTTAATTATTTAATAGTTTCTCTTTCTTGCAAATAGAATATAAATAAAAAGAAGAATTTTTTTCCTTTTTCTTTTCCAAATAATATGGACAAGTTTTCTTAGTGGACAAAGGATCTTTTAGCAAATTTTAGAAAGTTTAAGGACCTCTCACCTGGATCTGAATATTATAGGTGAGACCATCAAAATAAGGTAAAGTTCAGGTGGTATCTAGGCATTTCCCCCTTGGAGTCCTGAAAAAAGGAAATCTTATTCTCATATTTATCATAGAGTCCCTCCTTTTACCCCCAGTTCCTTCTTCTAAGAACTTTTTTTGTTAATTTTTTTACATGTTATTTTTAAAGTTAGATTTCATTTTATGGTTAAGAAATATAAAAGGACAAAGAGTGATCATGCCATATTATGTTTGTAAACATTCATATTTTTTTTTCTTGACATCTGCATTGTAGGTGTCACTACTAGTTTTGGTATATATTTTATGTTTGTCCATGGTACTACTTTCTGTCAGCTATAATGCTCACTGTTATATTGCTTTCAGCCAAAATTTCTTGATCTAGCTTTTGGTGCAGCTTTGGCGGTTTTCTTGACATTAGAAATTATTCGAGTAAGTATCTTGCTATGCACATTCAACTTAGCAGTAGTGGTATCATATTTTGAAAGGATGTTGTTTGTTTCATTGTTTATTGTTGATTATGTCAATAGTGCAGAAGGAATCAAAATCTAAATTCTAGATACTTAAAATTTGAAGAACTTCTATGAAAGAAACAATCAACCATTTAAGGGGTATCTTTATGTGCCCAAGAAGGGTTTATTTGAGTGAGTCCTGTGAGATGTGTGTGCAATAGTCCATGTATTGATAGCAGAAGGGAAGGAGAAAGGGGTAAGAGTATGTAATTAGGACACATTCTACTGGAACAATTTTCCTAAAAATGCCATTAACATTAGAGTTTTGAATTTCATGAAGATTTGTTGAAACATTTACACATTTTCTTGGTTGCTTTTGCATTAAAATTGTTTGACCCAGGTGTGGAGAATCTGGCCTTTGGGACAGCCAATTAATCAATTTATGAATGCATTCACTGATCACCGAGACTCTGATCTTCTTATTGTCAGGTATTATGTCCTTTTCCATTATGGAGCTTACTGTTTATGATGCATAGGAGCTTCGTTTAGTTCCCTTTCATGATGATATATGCTTTGCTCAGCCATTTCTCACTCCTACTGGGATGTGCACTTCCTATTTGGATGTCTTCTGGGTATAATGATCGGCCTCTTGCACCTTTTGCGGGAATATTGAGCCTAGGAATTGGAGATACAATGGTAAGTTTTTCTGGTGGAGGGGGAATGTACACACCCCCTGAACTTCGGGCTATTGCAATTAACCAGCATAAATTTCTAAATTTAAACATTGTCAATAGGTGAATTGCATCTTCTTCTATAAAAGGAAAAAGGTTGATTGTATCGTGCATAAGGTCAAGTGTGATATATACATGTAACTGTTTTGGATCAATCAACAATGTTTAAACCATAAATGCAAGAACCTGAATCAATCTGGAAATTTGTCACTTCAAGTCTGCAATGATTTTGGAACAATGAAGTTACTCCCAATTTTGGGAATCAAGATGATTTTTCATGAATAACTAAAGCATGATAATTTTTTCTACGAGAAATTTGACTGCTTGCAATAATTGTGAACAGTTTTCCATGTAGAAGTAGATTGATTAATCTCTAGCAAGGCTGTTAAGGGTGATGATTATGTAGATACCCTTTTATCTTGTGAACAAGTCAGAGACTGAACAGAAGCATTAAAAATTTTTATTTTCTTTTATGATATTTGTTTTTCCAGAAAAACAAAACGGAGTTGTTCTCTTGATGGTGGCTTTTTTTAATAATTCATAGACTTATTTTTATTTTTAATTTATAGTAATTGATTCTCTATTTTGTTTAGGCATCAATGGTTGGGCACAAGTATGGTGTTTTGAGGTGGAGTAAAACTGGCAGTAAGTATTTTCATTATTAATTATTTTTATCAGTATTCCATTGCATGATGTGAATGTGTAGCTTTCTCACTTGCCAGAGAAAACGGTCGAAGGTACTGCAGCTGGTATAACGTCTGTACTTGCTGCTTGCTCTTTACTCCTTCCACTCTTAGCGTCGACTGGATACATTCTCACTCAGGTATTCTTTTCTCTTTGCCTCTCTGTGTGCGTGTGTGTGTTTACATATTTGCAGGACGGGTTGGGTTTGGTAAGTATGCATGTTAGTAAACCCAATAGTAATAGAGTCGATGACCAAGTGTTGTATAGAAGGAACTTGATTTGCCAGCATAACTGATCTACTGGAACCATCTGACTAGCTTGGTTTTTCCTTGATAACATATAAGATATCTCAATTCAGTACTTCAGGTCTTATGTCACTCTTTGCATAGAAAAATCCCTTGTCATTCTTGTTCCACATGACCCTGGTTCATATAAGTCCCACAGCTTTATATAGTCCTTATTTTTGTTACCACTGACCTCGAACAATTTCTTGCACCAATGAGTTAGGAACCTTGTTGCCAAGCATTGTTCTCCGAGATTCATGCATATAAGCCAACTGCTGCATGTGGAGTTAGGTCAGAATTCAGATTCCACGTATAGTATGCTCTAAGGGAGTACTTGCACTCCTTTTCCCCTACTCACACATGTGCGAGCCAGGCCCCGCTTAAGGGACGATTGTCCTCTCCGTTTCAATTTTTCCTAGACCCCTCCCTCCTCAAAAGGGAGCGAGAGGAATGGAAAAGCCACCCCTATACTGCCAAGGTGCAAATTCCGAGGACTTTAAAGTGCAGTTTCATCTTTTTAATTTCTCGTTTAATAGGGAAATGTACAAGAAATTGCCATTTATCGTTAAGAAAATGAAATGAATAGCTAGGTGAGAGAAGCCTGCTATTCTTGATTATTTTTTCTTGGGATTATTATGATTTTATTTTATTTTTGATTTCTTTGTTACCAACTTTTTGCAGCATTGGTTCTCTCTACTTCTAGCTGTGACTGCAAGTGGTTTGTTGGAGGCCTACACGGCACAGCTTGACAACGCATTCATACCACTTTTTTTCTATAGCCTCCTCTGTTTATAGGCACTAGGCACAGCTCTCCCTCTTCGAAAAAGAAGTTACCTTGGATGAGCAGTGACGAGGTTATGCAAATATGTGTCCTGTCTGGGCACACATTGTTTTTGCAGAGGTCAGATAACTATTAACCAATACACTTGTACATGACAGTTAGGGTGGGTCTACATATTTAGGATTGTATCTCTCTACAGGAATGATAGGTATACGAGTGTTCATTTAAATGGTTGAATACCCAACAACACACATTTTATGCAGGAGTGACAATTTTCCATTTTTTATTAAACCATTTGTGAGGCCATGAGAGAGGGGAGCTGTTAACATATAGTGGAAGAAATTTTTAATGTCTTTCATTTTTCACACGTATAATACTGTCTTTTTTTGACGGGTCATGTATGTCGGCGAAGCCCCACACACAAGAGGCAGAGTAGAAAACTGCTGAAATTTGAAAATGTGTCATAAATTAGCGCACGTGGTTTTTTATGTATTGTCTCTGCCCTCTATTTGTCACAGGCGTGGTAGCATTAATTTTTTTTTTTCTTTTGGCAAGGGTCACGTGTTGTCAAAATACTTTTTTTTTTTTTTTTATCAAATATGGAATATATTTATTTAATTATGTATTTTATAGGTTGAGATATATATTTCATATCTTATTCGTCCATGCACACAAGTTATCTAAGAAAAGAATATGCCTTTTACCGACCATTGTTGATATGTTGTAGGGAAAATATATTCTTACGTTGTAGGAGAGTGTTTTTATCTCCTACACATATATTGATTTTTGTGTTTTTTTTTTATCTTTTTTTTTTCTATAAGTAGGTGGGTTTCACACATGATTGTCTCTATAGCATGAGAGAGATTATCTTCTATTACATGAAATTAATAAAATCCTACGTTGTATTCCTCTCTGCCAAAACTAATTTTTGACTAGCTTCTCTCGACAATAGACAACTGAGATTATTTCATTAAAAAATGGATGATAAAAACTTTAATTGACTAACCATTATTTATAACAGTAATCATTCATTTTATTGTGGTTATCTTATTAACGAAGTTTCAAAAGAGCAATTTTAAAAGCACATAATACCTTATTATGTTTATATTTAGAAAAAAGTGTGTCATTTTCAAGAATGTAAAATTGTATCATTTTAAATGAGATAAAGAGATAGATAATGAGAGAGAGAGAGTGAAAAAATAAATAAAGATATGGGTCTCGCTTCTTTGTGAGAGTGAAATAACATAAGTTGTGTTATTTAAAAGGACAAATACTTTTCTTATATATTTATGTAAGTCTTTAAAAATTTGACCCAACTCATGAGCCTTACTAAGTAAATTTTAAGGATGATTAATCTTGACTTTTGTCAACATATTTTTAACCTTAACAGAAATAATTAAAAAGTTTAAATTATTATAAAAAATGTTAAACTATTTAAAAAATAATCAATCATTAGCTTCTTTGAAACAATTTAATTGATCAAGTTAATATATAAAACATGTAATGAGAGCGTACGATTTTAAATTTCATAAGAAACTCTTTCTTTTTCTATATTCTTTCCTCCAATTGCATGTGATGTTTCTTATGGGTTTTTCTCAAGACCCGCCTGAGTAATAGGTTTTCCTAAATAAAAAATGACCGAGAGTCATTTGAAATTATTATTATAGAAAATTCAGTTTAATTAGGTGCCTCTTGCTTGAGCAGTTGAGCTGCAATCACAACAACAGGTACTCTTCGTGCGTCTTGCCTATTGGAATGCCCCTCATGAATTAATGGGTAAATAATATCATTTACTAATCAGATTTTTTATTTTATTTTTTACTTTTGGCATGATTCTCGCCAGGAGATCAACCATTATTATGTAAATATTTGAGAAGTTATCAAATACATAGGATATAAATTATTTTATGAAATTTAATTTTAAGTTATTGTCAATAACAGTATCATATAATCATATATTATAATATTATTAAATAAATTTAATTATTATAGATATTATTTAAAATAATTTAATTTTGATCCATTGTCAATGAAATATTTTACACTGGCATCTAACTATATTATTTAATAAATTTAATTATTTTAACGTCAGACTCATTAAATAATGTGATAATATATTATTAAATGCATAATTAGGGTGAAAGTGTTGATAAAATGATCATTAGTAAAAATGATAACAATATATCAAAATTAATTTATTTTTTAACATTTTATTTATTTACATTTGAAAAGATTTTAGGAAATATATTTTGTTGACTTAACTCATGCACAATAATAATTAAACAAAATTACTTTTTAATGGAAATTTAATAGCTTTTTTAATATAAATCATAAAGATATATAACATATAAAAAACTTGTACGTATATAGTAAGGGTGAAATAATTAGCAATAATTAAAGTAAAATACAATGTTAATCTATATAATTTACATCATAGTATATAGTATTACAATAGCTTTATCTAAAATTGCTCTAGCTAGTAAATATTAATCGTCCCTCCTTGCCATATGATCTAGTGTATCGCAGCTGTAAGCAATTCATTTGCTCTGGCAAAACTCTTCCTCGATAATGGATGGTCACTGAGATTTCTCGAAAGCTCCAATTGTTTGACGCAACTCCTATAGAAACTGACATTTATTTCGAACTAACTCCAAGTAATTAAAGATAACATGAGTCTATAGCATGCGCGCGTAATTAATGTATATGGACAGAACCATCTCATGAAGAAGGCTTTTTTACCCTTATAACCTTTAATTAATAATTAATTATTAATTTGACCTTCATTTGAAATTAATTCGAAAATTTAACTCCTTCAGAATACATAACACCAATCTGCCCCTGTTTGACCGTTGACCATGAAGCCTACCCGGGTACACCCATCCCTACCCTGGTATTTTTTGAAATTTTTTATCTACCCGGGTAGAGAGGGGTGTACCCGGGTAGAGTTCTTGAATCTGGAAAAATGGTTGAATTAGTTACCCGGGTAAGAAGGGTTGTACCCGGGTAAACATCCAGAGTAGCGTATTTATATAAATGAAAAAAACTGTGACAAGCATAGTTCATGGACGATAGCAACGAAGATCCAAGGCTTCCTCGTCATGGCAGCCCTAATGAATTTGTTTCCATCAACTAATTAGCAGATCATTACTCTATCTCTATCTATCTATCTATAGTTTTACTTAGTTGTGACGTTGCAGAAAAATGGTGAGTTTTGCAGAATTGGGACTCTTATACTGGAAGCTGAATCCAAATGATGTTGAGGAAGATTAGAGAAACTAGGGGATACAATTACATGGTAATGTTGTATTAATTTTAATTTTTTGCGTTTTCATTAACCTGATAGAAATATAAATCCGAGGAGAATATGAATTGGAAAAAGAAACTTTTTAGCATCTCGGTTATATAAAAACGCTACTCTGGATGTTTACCCGGGTACAACCCTTCTTACCCGGGTAACTAATTCAACCATTTTTCCAGATTCAAGAACTCTACCCGGGTACACCCCTCTCTACCCGGGTAGATAAAAAATTTCAAAAAATACCAGGGTAGGGAGGGGTGTACCCGGGTAGGCTTCATGGTCAACGGTCAAACATGGGCAGATTGGTGTTATGTTTTCTGAAGGGGTTAAATTTTCGAATTAGTTTCAAATGAAGGTCAAATTGGTAATTAATTATTAATTAAAGGTTATAAGGGTAAAAAAGCCTATGAAAAAGGTAAGTCAAATACTCAAATTAATGAAGATTGACCAGATGAAAGGAATCAAGTGGTTGAAGATCGATGGATGGAAAGATTTCATGTGTAAAACATTAGTCATGTTTACAAGTCATACTATATATATATATATATATATATATATATATATATATATATATATATATATATATATATATATATATATGGGTTATATATATACAAGTCTCACAGTTCACCAGCACATGGAGCTAGGGTTGCCAAAATGAGTTAAGATACCTCGTTGGGGCTAGTTGGATAACAACTCAATGAATGGGAAATTTTGACTCATTTACTAAATGAGTTAATATTAAACATTTATGTTTGGCTTATTAATTCAGAAGATAATAATAACAAATTTATGTTAAGTTATTTTCTTAACCAGATTTATGTTAACAAAGTTTTATTGATTTATAAATTTGAGCCTAATTTTTTTTTTTAAAAGGCTCAATTCTCGATTAATATAAGTAAAAAAAGAAAAGTTTAATTTCTTCTTTGTTTATATATATATATATATATATATATATATATATATATATATATATATATATAAATGACGATAAATTTGAAATTTGACACCTCATCTGAGAGTCATGTCATTAGATAAAGAAAGATCAATAACTCTGATTTGTAAGCATGTGACACCATTAATCTTTTTTGATGTAATGGACCTCGTCTGAGAGCCACTGGTGTCAAATGATCATGCCTCTATATGAGGTAGGATCCTTTGACACCGGTGTCAAATTTTAAAATTTGACACCAAATCCCAACCGTTGATTTCCGCCAATCAACGGTTGGTGTCAAATTTCAAAATTTGACACCGGTGTCAAAGGATCTTGCCCCTATATATATATATATATATATATATATATAACGAGAGCATTGGAGTTTAAACCTATAACGCCATGTTGCACCCTTAAAATGTTAATATCTTTGATTACTACGAAAACAAGATAACTAATTATTTACACATCCATTAAGACATGACATACGGAAATAAAAAGAGTTAACAAGGGAAAGGAATCATGTTGATCTAAAAATTGTGTTTATCTATTAGCTTTACATAAATTTAATGTTTATAAAATGAAACATAAACACAAAAAGTAATCCATTCTCGATAATGAGGGAGTAATGCAAAGTATCATTAATAATTATGGAGTTGGGGCAGACATGAGTAGCGAAAAGAGACGTTTCATGATATGAAAGTTCGAAGTTAATGCACCCACATGCACTGGTCTCTCCGACCATCTTTATCTTTCATGTTTTGTCATTAATATCCAAATAATATCTTAAGATACTTATCCATGCATGACCCTTTTGATCAGCAGCACATATATATATATACATATAAGAATGGTAAATGGCTCAAACACTCGACCAAGCTCATAAACAAACACTAGCTTCTAGCTTAGCAGACACAGTTAATTTCGAGTACTAGGTATAACAATATTTACTTGTGATATGGCCAAGCTCAGTATCAGAATTATTAGCAGCAAAAAGAAGGGTGAAGGTGGAATTGTGAAGCTCAAGTTTGTGGTGGAGAAGCTCCAAAAGAGGCTCTTACTGGGAAGAAAAAATAAAAGTGATTCAAGCAATGTGCCAGAGGATGTGAAGCAAGGACATTTTGCTGTTATCGCTGAGAGTGGGGAGGAACCAAAGAGATTCGTGATGCCATTAAGCTGTTTAAGCAACCCAACATTTTTGAAGCTATTAGAGGAAGCAGAACAAGAGTATGGCTTTGATCATGCATATGATGGCGCACTAACCATTCCTTGCACCCCTATTGAGCTTGAGAGGATACTCGCCCACCAATGTCTTCAAAGAGCACATTTTTAGTATCACGGGAGCACTCTGTTATGGGTATTATTGTCATTCAAAACGAGACACATGTATTTAATAAGATAGCCGCTAACGTCTATCTTGATTTTTTTTCTCTTATCTTCACCTGACATATTGTCATGTCAGTGTTGATATATGTTAAATTTTTATTAGAGATGGATGAATGAAAAAATGGATGCAACAAGAGTATTTTAGATATTTTCCTTCAAGAGGGAGCGCTTCTAGTAAAACTGCTTGACCCCAGGCGTTTGGTACAGGAGAAATTTTTATTTGTCCTGGAATCTCGATTTTTAAAAATATGATTTTTACATTCAGTTTACGATAATATTTGAAATTTTAAAATTTTAAAAATTTTAGTTTCCCGAGAATCCGAGAAAAATCCGTGTACCAAACGATATGTTCAAAGCTAAGGATGAATAGTGACATGTGTTATATAGATATAATTTGTGTTGTTACTAATAATTTAAAATTGAGAAAGATTTTTCACCAAAAAAAAAAATTGAGAAAGATTATACTTATAATCTATTTTTATTTAGATTTATCTTTATCATTAAATCAAATTCAAAATAAATATTATAAAATAACGTCAATGTTGATTTGATTTTAATGTGAAAGGTTATAACTTATAAGAAAAATTAGTTTATAAGTATAATCTCTCTTTTTAAAATTTCATGTTGAATTAATTTTTTTGTATCATATCTCAAAGTTTAAGTGATAAGTCAATGATCTCAACTCTCAATCTATTAATAAATAATTAAATATTATATAATTTTTTAACATATAAACGACTCCATGCACAATTCATCCCCCAAGATTAATAAACTTTTTTATAACAAAATGTAATAAAAACATATAATATATATATATATATATATATATATATATATATATATATATATATATATATATTAATATAACCCATTTAAGTTTTTAGGTTATTTATGTCAATCCAATTTGACGTTTAATTTTCTTTCTTTTCTGCACCTTACGTTACTAGGGGACTTGTCACTTGTGAGTCCTAAACGAAAATGTTCCAGATTTGAGATTAATCGCATCATACGTACTCATCACTCGTTCACCGCCAAATATATTAATATACATGATTGATCAGTTTACCCACTTTTAAATTAAATCATAATCACTCTTACACTATTTAATATCTTTTCACTTGATAATCTTATCTCAAAATTTATAATTGGATTAAAAATTCTTATCATATAAATCATATTTATAAAATATTATACCAATACAATATTATTTAATACTTTATTAATATACATAAAGTTTAACATATTTTATTTTTTTGAAATATATAAAATTATTTGATTATATTTTTATTATTGTTTAATTTTAAAAGATTTAACACAATAATAAATAAGTATAATTCAAAGGTTAGATTGATGTATAAAATTATTAAACTACGCAAAAATACTAAGTGTCATATTTTTGTATCACTAAATTTAATTTTGAATTTGTACAAGACCATTTCACATCTATTTAATTTATCTACATACATATCTCTTTTTTTTAATATCATGTAGATATTATATTCATATTATATCATATTATATGATTCTGACCGTGCTTATTCATAGTATCTTTGGATTACAAGTTGTTAGTAAAACTATAATTTAATTATCTTTAAACAATATTTTATATTTCAAATTTGTAAAATATAAACTAAACATGTTTTTAGACAACTTCAAACTATCTTTTAGATTAAAAAAAAAAAAAAAAACCTTGTTGCTAACTAGTATCTATTCACTCCATTTTAAAACAACGCTGGTTTAAAATTTTATATAAAAATTAAGAAAATTATTAAACATTCTTAAATTTTAAAAAAAATTAAATTAAGAAATTATTATTATCTTTTTAATTTCTTAAAATAACAAACAAATTAAAACAAAATTTTAAAGCAACTGTTATTTTGACATGGCCTGTGATGCACTTTTTTGGCCCACTATTCCCAACCAAATGACTTAAACGTGTTACGATATTTTGCGACATCTTTGCTTAATACGATAACATAATAGCTACGGAACAATGGTTCTGTTCTGTCTGCTTGCCCAGTGACTTCATTGTTTTGGCTATTTTGGCCGTCTTTTACGCCACATGCATAAAGTTAAGATTTGAGAAAGTCATATGACACATGCTGTCAGAGCAAAATGAATAATAAATAAATAGATATGATTGTATTTGTATAGATATTTTTGGTAAATTTAATTTATAGATATGATTGTATTTGTATAGATATTTTTGGTAAATTTAATTTATAAAAATGTAAGATGTAATATATCTATATATTATTGTATTATTATGGCTAATGTTTGAGCTTGTTCTATAACAATGTTGGCATTCTCGAGCTTCCCTCCTGTTATCGACCTTTCAAAATTTGAACTGAGATGTTGGAAAAAAATTTAATTATTGTATTTTAATTAAATAATTACGTATTTATTGCAGTTTTAGAAATAATTACGGATCTATTTTACAATGTGACGCTTTTTTTGGGCGTCACATGTGACGCCTCATTTAGGCATCTCTCACATGAGGGAAAACGCTCCAATGAAGCGTCTCTCACCTAAGGTTGACACATGTCATTTTTTTTTTTCTAAAAATAATAATAATTTAATCATAAAACTTCTGAAGGCCATAACTTTTGACTCGGGTATCCAATTCAGGTAATTCTTTTTTTGATTCCACATAACTTTTCGAGATCTACGCAATGACATCTCATTTGATATATTTTATTTCTCACAAATACAATTTTAATTTGCAAGAATGGTATAATAAGAGCGGTTAAACCAAAAAGCCTCTGAGTTCTAGGTTTGTGATTTAATAAAAAATAAAAAATAAAATTTTGATTTGTGATTTAATTTGTTTTATAATACTTTTTTTTATTAAAATTTGGTTTGTGATTTAAATTAAAATTACAAAAAATTATTATTAATAAGGAAAACAAAATAAAGATTTGATTTGTGATTTAAACTAAAAAATCAATTTGAAAAATATGTTGAAATAAAGAAAATAATTAAATAAATATTCTAAATCTCTAAGGAAGAAGAATATTATTTTTGAAATTAATGATTAATGCTATAAGCTTCTGGATTATTATTCGTGGTCTGAAATTAATGATGGCTTATGAATGTTTTTCAAAAATAAAATTACCTAAATTAGGCATGATTGTCTCTTGATTGAAACCTAATTTAGACATGATTGGTGACGTGTCAAGTGTTGACACATGTCACATTTTTAAACTCAGAAGCCTTTGAGTTCTGCGTTTGTGATTTACTATAAAAAATAAATCAAGATTTGATGTGTGATTTAATTTAAATTTTTTTTTATTATAAAAAAATTTAGTTTGTGATTTAAATTAAAAGTAACAATTATTATTAATAAGGAAAATAAAATAAAGATTTGATTTGTGATTTAAACTAAAAAATCAATTTGAAAAACTGTATTAATAAAGGAAATAATTAAATAAATATTTTAAATCTCTAAGGAAGAAGAATTACCTAATTTAAATTATGTTTATAAGAAATAAAATATATCAAATGAGATGTCATTGCGTAGATCTTGAAAAGTTATGTGGAATCAAAAAAAGAATTACCTGAATTGGATACCCGAGTCAAAAGTTATGGCCTTCAAAAATTTTATGATTAAATTATTATTATTTTTAGAAAAAAAATGACACGTGTCAACCTTAGGTGAGAGATGCCCCATTGGGGCGTCTTCCCTTAGGAGAGAGACGCCTAAATGAGGCGTCACATGTAACGCCCAAAAAAGGTGTCACATTTGCAATAGATCCGTAATTATTTTCAAAACTGCAATAAATGCGTAATTATTTAGTTAAAATACAATAATTTTAAATTTTTTTGCCCGGAAATGTTAAAATAAGTTAAAACAAATAATTAGTCTATAAAATTTTATAAAATTTAAAAGTTGGATTTTATAAATTTTTTCGTATAAGTTCTTATAATTTTATTTATTTAGATTATGAATTTTTTAAGAACCAACACTCTGATAATTAGAAATTATAAAGATTAATCTTTCATAAAAATAAAATAAATACTGTAATGAACAAAATTATAAAATTTTAAATATGTGAAAAATATAAAGATTAATAAATTGATGACAAAAAAAAAATTTAAATAAACTAAAGTACATGAACCGATATAAGAAATTTATAAGATTCAAAGTACAAATTAAACGTAGCTAGAAGATTTAATTATTTACTTTAACTTTAAAAATATTAGCTTATTTTCAAGACGGTAAGCTATGCGAATGCTCTTCCCAAATACCAAGCATGGCTCCTTGTTTTTCCCGCGGCCTTCTCTCTTTTGGGAGGCCTTCATGGGTGGTTCTGATCATGTTTTACCCTGCTTGTTAATTTTTGTTAGTAGTTAATTATATAAAGATTTACATCTAAATGTAAAAAATTTATAAATGCATTTACAACTTTTTTAAACAATATTCGAACATGTAATAAAATTACACTTCAAATCTTAAGTTATGACTAAGTTGGCAACTTGAATTTCATGTACAAATATCACTTTAAGCTACAGTATCAATTACACCGGAATTTTTTAAATGGTCAGGATCATTTAAACAAATCATAGTCCCTCTCATATCAAGTGACTATTTTATCTTTGCCTTTTTATTAAAATTCTCATTTTGCTCCCATATATAACACAAGGACCAGGTGATCCTGGACTATAGAAAGAGATCTCTAATTACACAGAGAATTATTCCTATTATTAAAATGTGTGAAGAGACCTTAAGAAAGGGAGGGAGAAGGAGAAAAACACAATAAACTTTGTCACATAATTTTAAATTGCTTCAATATTTTATTATTTTTATTTTTGCATCTTGACAAAACAATATTATTATATAGTAACAATTTATTTCAAATAATTTATTTTTATTTTTAACAAAATATAAAAAGTAGAGATAGATATGAAGGTATTGCTAATCAATAGACTCATTATGCTTGTATAAAAGCAGGTATTTGTTAAATCTGTTTTATAAATTTTTGTAAAATAAAGGGCAAAACAATTTCCTCTTGTTTAATATATATTTTGTTTTTTAAGTTAATGCAGCAATACGTTGTTTTATAAAATTCTCTTTTAAAATAGGTAACTAATTATTTTGTTTATTATTTTCTAGTAGATTAATGCAACGTGTTCAAGCGGTTTATAGAAACCGTAATTAACCACTAATTATTGCGTTCTCTAGTTCTAATTTGACGACTAACTTTTTTGCCCTCCTTTTTTTTTCATATAACTGCGAACTGCTATTTATTTAGCTTATTCCAAAGTTCAAAACATTGATATGCTTAATACAAAAATCATAAAACCAGCTTCTTCTTCTTTTTCCATATAACACTGAAATGCTATCTATTTATGAAGAACCGATACTTTCCCACACTCTGATACTTTCCGACACTCCAATACTTATTGCAAATACTCAAAAAAAGTTCAAAGGTTACGTTGCGTTGCATTTTGAGTTCCAACTATTAAATTCGTTAGATTATGGTTACGATTTTATTGAATTTAATATAAACATTTGAGATATCTTATGTTTCTTTACAAAATTTATGGGTACTATAAGTTTAGATTTATTTTTTTGTTAAATTATTGAATATTAAATATAACAGTAAACCCCCTTTTTAGTCCCTAAAAATATCTACGAAGTCCTTTTCAGTCCCTAGCAATAAAAAAGGACCAAATTGGTCCCTGAAAGTACAAGAAAAGGGTCATTCTACATATTTGGGAGTTGACATAAGGACTAACATGGCCCCTTTGTTTGTAATTTCATGGACCAATGTGGTCCTTTTTTATTGCCAGGGACTAAAAAGGACTTCGTAGATATTGACAGGGACTAAAAAGAGTGTGTTTACTCTCAATATAATATACACTACATAAATTAAAATAAAAAATATTATATAATATCAAAACGTGTCCTAACTAACGTGTCAAAATTTAACGTTTTTTAGAATTAACGTGTCAGAATGTCATATCGTATCTCGTGTCGGTGCAACATAACTATTTATTTAAGGGGAGTTTGGAAGGGGAAATGTTTTGATATCCCCATAAAAGTAACAGTGATAATCCTACTTATCCACATATGGTACAAGGTTTCTGAAAAAAAATTCGGAAATTTTATTTTTCCGAAATTTTATTTTGAATTTTTTTTCAAGAATTTGGTGGTATTCTTGGAATCCCATGGGTTGAAAAAATTCATACTTTTTTTGGGGTCAAAATTTCGATAATATTTTGGCCTACCAAATAATATTTTAATAACATTCACGACAAAATGGCTTTCCCACCATATTCTTGAACATTATGGTTCTCCGGTAAAAAAATAAATTATCCTCTACCAAACGTCACCTTAGCTTATTCCAAAGTTCAAAACATTGATATGCTTAATACAAAAATCATAAAACCAATGTTTTAAAACTCGACTCGATCGAGGTACTAGGTCATTGGTTTAACTGAATTTTGAAATAATAAATTAAACTATAAATATTATGTCCAATAAATAAAAGTAATCCGGTGGTAAGCCTTTCAATCCTCAAACAAGGAAACTCAATTTCGAATCTTGTTACTTACAAAATGTATAAATTTTACACAATTTAACATAAAACCAATTTGAACCAATAAGGGCACCAGGTCACCGAAACCCAGGTCAACCCGAGCCAGATTTTGAAACACTACATAAATGATAAAAATAATTTAGACAGTCTAATTTTAAAGAGTCCTAGATTCTGGCAGTAGCTTTGTGCATTGTGAGCCCCTTTTTATTTCCTTTTATATTGTCACAAAAGTAAGAATGACGCTAGCCCTTAAGAGCTTCCTTACCAGTTTTGTACAGATAAATTGGTGTCATGTGCACTTTACTTCCAAAGTAATTCGTATTCTAGAGACTTTGCTCATTTTTATGGAAATATATTAAATACTCGCTTACACGATGGTGATCTTCCAACTTACAAAGAACGTAACCTTCTAGCTATAGAAATGGAGACTCAGTCTACCGCAAAGCACGCTCCGAGCTTCGCCTTCTATCTCTATAATCCCTTTTTCTCCTTTCATTTTCTTCTTGTAGACCTTTGCATGGCCCCGCAGCTTCAGAAGTGTCATTCATGATTGAGCCCCGAAACGGACCACTCTCCTCTCAGCCAACTAATCCGTCCTCATCCTTGCTTATGACCTAAAAAAAAGGAGAAAAAGGGGGGAGGAGGGGGGTAGGAGGAGAAAGAGCTAGGCCCTTAATCATTTGTTAAACATATCTATCACCTACAATTTGTTTCCTTAGACTGGGTACCCTTGATAATTGTAATTGTCTCATGCAACAGTCGCAAAAGAAAGAAACTTACGAAGGGTGAAGAATTATCAGCAACACAGCTAGAGAGGAAACTAATACCGTAAATATAATGCTCTGGTTACAACATACAAAGTATTACATCATATATCCCGTTATCTATCATGCTGGTCAGTAACAGATAATGAAAAACAAAAATATTACCAATCTAACCTGGGTGGAGGACATCTCAGCTCAAAACGATTTCTACACCAATTCCCTGCCATTTAACTCAACTATCATCACCATGAGGGAAATCCACATCAAGCAGCAACACCCACCTAAATTGTAATATAAGTACGTAGATCTTATAGATAGTCCCAGTCCGGCGGAGTCCCACTATGTACTTCAGTCAGATCAACCAGCCTTCGACCTTAGATGCTCCTTGAAATCCATAATGTCACCCTGCCATCTGGTCACAGTTTGATCAGCACACACCCATATCTCATGGGCCACCTGATTTATGAGCCTAAAATCATGGCTAACAAGCACCATGCCACCATCCCATTCATTTAATGCCTCGGCCAATGAGTCAATTGTCTCAATATCCAAATGATTAGTTGGCTCATCTAAAAGTAGCAAGTGAGGCTGTCTATAAGCTAACCATGCAAATATCACACGGCTCCTCTGCCCATCAGATAAATTCTTCATAGGCATCACCTGCGCTTTACCTGACAGTCCAAACTTCCCAATAGCAGCTCTCATCTTCTCTTCCTCATTTCCAGGGTATTCTTTTGTCATAAACTGGAGAGCAGACAATTCCAAGTCTAGCTTTTCAGCCAAGTGCTGGTGAAATTGTGCAATTCTAAGGTGATTATGGCGTCGAACCATGCCGTCTATAGGAACCAAATCACCTGTCATTAGCTTTAGAAACGTACTCTTCCCAGCTCCATTGGGTCCAACAAGAGCAATCCTAGAGTCCAAATCAACCCCAAAGTCAATGTTCTTGTAGATGAGATTATCGGGAGTGTAACCAAATGTCACCTCAACAAACTGGAGGACAGGCGGGGGAAGTTTTCCCACATCAACAAAGCGGAATACCAAAACTTTGTCTCTTGCCACCTTCTCTGTAAGTCCACCCCGCTCCATCTTTGCAAGAGTTTTCTCTTTACTCTGAGCTTGGCGAGCTAGTTTTGCTGATCCATGGCCAAATCGGGCAATGTATTCCTTCATTGAGGCAATCTGCTCCTGCTCCCATTTGTACTGCTTCATCTGGTTCTCTTCCAGTTCAGCACGTGTCTGAACATACTGATCATAATTACCAGTATAGGGCTTCAGCTTTTTGTTTTGCATGTGGATGATATTTGTGCAGACACCATTAAGGAAATCTTGGGAGTGTGAAACCACAACTAGAATACGATCAAACTTCTTCAAATTCTCCTCCAGCCACACACAAGCTTCCAAATCTGCAAACAGATTTAAAAAATGATGAATCCAGAGTGATTCCAGGACCAATGTTAGAACATATACATGGATTTTTCCCAAAATAAAAATAAAAATGCAAGAACACCATGCAGATATCAAATAGAAACATAGAAAAGAAATAAATTTAATTTAATCTGACTGCATAACAAGTAACACCCATAAATGCCTGAGTTCAGATTGAATCAGTTACATTAGGAGAAATGCAACCACCATAAAATGAGATGATAATGCAGAGACAGTATGCAAAGGGAGGCGGGCTGGGAAGGGGATGGATGAGGATTTCTCCATATGATATAACAACTTAACAAGAAAAATCAGTGCAAAATGATTGAGAATTACAAGATGCAAATCATGGGTCTGGCATTCACAGCCCAACCATATTGATATAAAGCATCTAAAGATATATTATACTATACTGAGGCAGTCCCACCATGGCAATCCTTTTCCAAAGCACACACCAACGGAAGGTTGCTCTAAAAACTACACCCAGAGGCCTACCTAATGGATAAACCAGAAGGATTCAATAATAATCACTTTATTTAATAGACATAATGAACAATTCAAACAACAGATAAAGAATCTGCAAGACCTTCAATTTAAAATCACAACTCACAAGTGAGTCAGCAAAGAAAATCATCACATGAAAATCAATGCACAGAACATGACAAGGTAATAATAACTGTTCGACCACAACTAAATGGTGGGGGGGATTTTTTTCTCAGGAAGGAGGGATACCGAGGTGATTGGTTGGTTCATCAAGTAAAAGAATAGTCGGGTTCATAAAAAGAGCGCGTGCTAAAGCAATCCTCATTCTCCAGCCACCAGAAAAATCATGTGTCTTCTTTGCCTGCATCTGCTTGTTGAAACCAAGACCAAATAAGATTTCTGCAGCACGCTTTTCTGCAGTTGATGCATCCATGGCTTCCAATCGTTCATAAATACGTTCAAGAGCTTCACCACCCCCATCATCCTGGAAAAAAAATTAATCACTGTGAGCCAGTCATCCAAAAACATAAAACAATAGGGGGGGAATTCAGATGCCATATTTACTCAAACACACCTGTGCTGCCAAAGCTTCAGCTTCTTTCTCCAATCTCAACCTTTCCTCATCACAGCATATGACAGCCTCCAATGCAGACATGTCAGAGGCTTCAATTTCCCTGCTAAGGTGATAAATATCCATGTGGTCTGGAATAGGAAGCTCTCGGCAACCTATTGCAGTAAGCAGGGTAGATTTTCCACAACCATTTAATCCAAGCAAACCATAACGTCTGAAAGGAATTTAAAGTAAGTAAAATCAACAACAAATCATGGTTATAAATGATAGTATCCGATACTGAACAATTGGGTAAGAATGACAAACCTCCCATAATTTAGCTCCAATTCAGAATCAACAATGAGATCATGTCCATGGAAAGTAACTGAGAGAGATTCTATCTGTAATTACAATGTAAACAAATACATCAATACAGCACTGATCATTTTAAATGCATTAACAATTAGCTATACTTAATATGGCAGAAATGTACCTTTATTGCACAATATTACAATACTATGTCCAAAGAATTCTTAATATGTACCCAAAAAAAAAAAAAAAAGAATTCTTAATAGGTGAGTAATTGGTTACATTAACAAAGGAGAACCAAGTTATTGACCTTGACAACATGGAAGAATGCCAATGCTATAGACCAAATGCTTGTCTACTTGGCTAGGCACTCAAATACACACAACAACGCTTGCAACATTAAGCTAGAAATAAGACTAGCTAATCTGGGAATGTTTACCACATTTTTAGAAAACTTTTATAAATTCCAGCTGCAGAAAGAAAACCTGGATTAATAATTAATGAAGGACCCAGATACATTATCCCCTACTTTTCTTTTTCCAGAGGGAGCATGCAATATACGGACACCAAGGATATCAATTGTGGCGCTTTTGCACGCAATTCTACTTTAGTCAGATTGCGGACGTTCGCAGCATCTGGCCGCATCCCAACGCGAGAGGTAGGAGTTGCGGCCATTGCAGACACAATTGCAGTTGTTGCAGACCCAATTATTACATGTATGCCCCTGTTTTAAATTTCTACCACTTTTGGATTTTTTTGTCTTTTTACCGGGTTTTATGAAACCCTCAACCCTCTCTCTCCACTCTCTCAATCCTGACTCTCCCTCACGTCTCTCATTCTCTCATCTCTGCAAAGCATCTCTTTCACTCTCCTCTGTTCTCCGACTAGTCTGTCTGTTCTCTCTCTCTCTCTCTACTAACAGAAGAACTAGTACTCATCTCTCTTCTCTGTTCTTTTGTTTTTTTTTTGGGTGTCAAATACCCATTATGAGTTATTTCTCTATTTTTGTTCCAACTTTTCAAATACCCATTCTGCTTTTGTTTCTATTTTATACCCATTATGTTTCTGTCACTATGTCAAAATCATGCTTGCACTGTCAAAGTTATACCCATCCTGTTGCTGTTTCTATATTATATTTATACCCACTCTGTTTCTGTTTCAAATTTTGTCTCTATATCACACTTGTTCAAATACTAATATTTCTCTATATTATAGATATGACTTCAAAACTTGTTCTGTCAAGATTTTGTATGCATATTAAAGTGATTATAAGCAATTGACAATACTTAGATATCCTTATTTGTTTTGGAGTGATAGTGATTATATATTTTTCTATGAATGTCTTTATTTTTAAGCATTTATATGTGTGGTTGGTATATTTAGATTTTATTCTGCTATACCGCAACCCACTATAGCTCTGCAGCATTTACGGGGTCGGCCGCACTATGACGCACACAAAAGTAAGCCAGAATATTTTCAATTAAAGAACCAAGGCAGAAATTCGCTTAACCAAAAAGAAAGATCATTCAGCTAAACTATTAATTGAACTTCAAAAAAAAAAAAAAAAAAAAAAATCAATCTAAACTCAGGTGATGGAATAGAGATTATGCCATTCATAACAACGTATCATTATCAGCATGTTTCAATTACACGCATCATGATGATGATGATGATGATGATGGACGTGTAATACGTTACTCACCCGAATATCCCTGGAAAGAGGATGGGAGCAGAGGACACCGGTGCATGTCCGATCGGATATCTGAATATCACCAATTCCGTTGGCGAGCTTGTCGGCTGCCTTCTCCGACGCCGTTTTTGATGAAGCGGCAGTAGCAGCGGCAGCGACGGCGGCAGGTACCTTGCCTCCTCTCTTGGCTGCCGCCGCCGCCTTCTTCTGAGCAGCCTTCTTCTTGCTAGCGTCAGACACCATCTTCAATCTTCAATCTTCAATCTTCAATCTATAGTCTCTGCATAGCAACAACAACCAACTCCACTCATCAATCAACTATGAATCAAACAAAAACATATATATATAAAAACACGAAAAAAAGAAGGAAAAATCAAAGGCATGAAATGGAAACCTTGGATAGTTGATAAGAGAAGAAGATAGAGATCTAAAGTCCTCTACTGAATCAGCGATACCGTGAGAGAGTAGAACCTGAGCGAGGGCTTAGGGTTCGAGTTTTCGTCAAGAGTTGAGTAGAGGTGAGGTTTTGGAATATATAGAGCTGTGGGCATCCACGTGTCACGGAGTTAGTTACTTTAAAGTCCCATCCACGTGTCACGGAGTTAGTTACTTTAAAATCCGCTTGGTTTGAAATAATAATAGAATAGAGATTTTAGTAGAATGTTGTAGAGAACTACGAGTTGTTTTTTTATAGTTTGACTTGTTTGAATTCCTCATTAATTTATTTGATTTTAGTATCGATCATGATTAATGCTGTGGTTTGGAATTTTTTTGAAAATTAAATAAATATAATTATGAGAATCGCTTACTAATGTCAGGAATTAGATGGGAAGCTGCGGCTGCAGTTGCCTTGTAAACAAATAATTATCCAAAAGTTTAAATTGATAAATGATCATCACATTAATTATTTTAATAAAATATTTTTAATACATTCTCTCATGCAAAAAAATATTTGATTTGAAGGGTGAATATTGCACAAATCTATACTTTTGATTTTGTCTTATGCTATTTTCAACTTTCTTTTTTATTTTATTAAAAAAATAGGACAATAAAGTTCAAATTCGTAATCACTTTGTCATTGATAACCATGTACCATTTTATAGTTTTCATATTTGTCTATGGTTTCAATTCCAATTTTACAAGAATAGTAAATGGAACATGTTGGAACCATTTGGTAACTACTAATTTACGATTGAAACTGTAGCAATATAATTGTTGAAACATAGAAGATATTGAAGGGGAGAAGAGAAGAAAAAGGAGATACGAGAAGGGAGAAAAAATTACAAAGAGAATTTATACTCATATTCTATTATAATAGAATTTGCTTACGGAATTGGTAATTGACTTGTTGCTTTGCCACGAAGAGCCAAAATTTCATTGGAACAACTTCACACACCTTTTCTAATGTTGAATTCCAACCAGTAAGAGCGTTTGGTACAGGAGAAATTTTTATTTGTCTGGGAATCTCAATTTTCAAAAATATGATTTTTACATTCAGTATATGATAATATTCAGAAATTTAAAATTTAGAAAGATTCAGTTTCTCGGGAATCCGGCCAAATGCCGTGTAGCAAACGCCCTAAGTGTAAAAAATCCTCCAATTATTGGATGAGTCCAAAATGTCTGCCCCATTTCAAAATTCTTTTGTGTTTGTCAAACATATCATGTCGTGTCATCAAAATTATTTTTGCTAGGAAGAATCGCAAGAACCTCAACATAACATGCCCTGTCATAGCTACAAACATTATTTGAATTGGCTTGCCCTTACCCTTCCTTTCCTTTTCATGAAATACATTTCTATGCTTGATTCTCCAGTCCCTATTATATAATTGATAAAATGATGATTTTGAAAAGGTATGTGCTAAGGTTATTAATATCACTAAAGTATATTACTGCAAACTTGGTAATGGTAGATTGGTAGATAGAAACACTGGATGGATTGTTGCAACATCATCGACGGTAGAACACGCACCTAAAATCTTTTAAGAACCAAACCAAGTTTAGGATTGTTTTTAAGGTTCTTAAGAAAGATGGAGTTGGACTCATCCTTGTTGATAAATGTTGAAACTTGACAATCACACAAATCATAAATGAAAAAAGAATGAGAGAGAATACACACAACGATTTACCTAATTCACCCAATTTAGGTTATATTCAGCTTATATGTACTATATTCACCTCATCGTCACTCATTTACAAGTAGAATATAAATAAGATTAGAAAATCTAACAGTAACTAGCCTCTACGGGCCTAGAGGAGCTACCCTACCCATTTACCTGAGAGCGAGACCCCAGTTGCTTTTTTGTTAATCCCGACAACAAATACTCTCGTCAGCATGCAAAATATGAGCTATACCCAACAATAAATATGCATATAATGGAAATAATTTATTCTAATCCATGATTATTGATGCTAGCGGGGCCCATATACTGCAAAACAAGGACACGCGAAATTTTTTAAAATTTGCGTGTCGGACACGGGTCCGACATGGACACGTTCCGACACGCTCGGACACGTGTCCGACACGCGGTCAACATTTGGGAACACGCAGTCAACTCTCTGACACGTGGTCAATATTTGGGGACACGCGATCAACATCTGGGGACACGCTCGGACACGTTTTTTTTTTAAATCTTAAATTTTTTTTAAATAAGAGAGGATGATCTTCTTCACGACGCCATGGCTCAGAGATCCACCTTTTCCCATTGTCGGAGAAAGAAAGAAAGAGGGTGAGTGAGTGAGGCACTGCCACACAAGAACAGAACAAGTAGAAGAAGAAAGGGTCAGGTCACAGAGAGAGAAAAGAGAGAAAGACAAGTGCCACCTCTCCAAATTTTGATGTGGTAATTAACACTAAAAGTGAGAAAAAAAATATACAATCGGGGAAGGTAGCTTTCATGTAATTTATTCTCTATTTTTTTTTTTGTTAACTAAATATAAAAGAAATAATTTATAAATAAATTTTTTCTGTTATAAAATTTGACATTAAAAATTAACAATACGAAAAATTATTTATATTTATGTTATAAAATTTAAATATTTGATTAGTTATATGACTTATTATGGACTCTTATATGTATTAAATATAAATTATATTATATATATTAAAAATTATATTTAATATCAAAACGTGTCCCAACAAGTCAAAATATGATATTTTTTAAAATTAATGTGTCGGCGTGTCGTGTCGTATCGTGTCCCGTGTCCGTGTCCATGTCCATATATGATAGCCCATATATACATGATTTTCTTTTGGGGTTGGATACTCACTGTTTATTTTTCTGCCTGTTTTAATCAAAGCAGTCGGAGTTTCTATTTTATTTTATTTTTGGAGATTAGAGTTTCTATTTCTTTTGTAAAGAAACGAAAGTAATGTCTATCAAAAAAAAAAAAAAACGAAAGTAATAACTTTTTTATAGGGAGGCCATCTTCATTTTTCTTTTTAACTTTTATTTTCTTTCTTTCTATCGTCTAATATGGAAGCAAGACTTATATCCGCTTCTCAAATATCAATGACTCAAAGCCATTATTATTTTCAAAATTCTAATTTACTTCAAATTATTTGTTTTTAAATTTTTTTAAAAAAATATTAATTTTTAATTGATATATGATATTATGATTACTTTTTTTATGTCTATTCTACGTATTAATCTCTAACACTGTTAGATTAGAATTTCAACTAATTTTATCATTTTTTCTTAATATATTTGTTAAGTAGAATATAAAAATATATTAGTAGAGTAAAATGATAATTTAAATAAACATCTTTTTTGAAAAATTAAAAATATTAAACACTTTTTTAATTTTTATATAAAGATTCTGAAATATTATTTACTTTAAAATAAAAAAATAACAATTCACAAATTTTTCAACTAAAAAAAACTACGTAAGGACTTTTTTGCCATGTTATGATCGATATGTAGTGGTCGTAGGAAATTGCACTTCGAGACCCGTAACCATACTTACTGCTAATTGCTTAATCGCATATCCGTCTCATGGAGCAGTTTGGTTTTGAACAGTTTGCTTAATCGCAGTTGATAACCTAATCGATTTTAAATAGTTTGATTTTCAAACCAATCCGATTTTTTTTTACCCAAACCGGCTTTAAAATTGGTTTATGATTAATAATCGATTTTGGTTTAAAATTGGTTTTTAACCATTTTGATTTAAAATTAATTTTTAACCGGTTTTAATTCAAAATTGATTTTAAGTCAAAATCGATTATGAATTATAAATCAGTTATCAAGTTCAAAACCAGTTTTTGATGAGTTGTGCTATTTTATTTTTGAAATAAAATAAAAAATATTTTTATTTCTTTTGCACAAAATTTTTGAAGTAAAACTATTATTTCAAAAAGATATCTTTAAGTTTGGTTTTGCTCCTTAAAAAAATATTATGTTTAATTTAAGAGTTTAATATTTCTATTAAAGAAAAATTTATCTCAATTACATGATTTTAATACAATCTCAAAATAAATAAAAAATATACAAAATATCTTTCCCCAACATCAAAATGATATAATGAACAAGAAAAATATTAAAGCCTTTTTTTATTTCAACTACCTCAAGGCTAAAATCAACGCCTTCGGGAGCACTGCTGCAATTCTGAAACCTTAAACATTGTCTTTTTCGATTCATAAATGATACCTAGAACATTATCGATGAGTTTTTGGCAATGGATAACTCTTGTCAGTCACACTAGGATTGGGGTTGAGTGTAAGGTATAACAACACTCAATCGTACGACATCCTTCGGATAAGAAAGAGGAATGAGGTCACTGAGCAAACTCGGATTTGGGTGTAAGGTAAGAAAAATTGTTAAAGACAAAAAAAAATGACTGGATTTGGTTATCCAGCATATCCAAATTATTTGATAAATAAATATTCAAACCATAATTAAGAAGTGGATAGTTTTTTTGAACTGTTTAAAAAAAATCGATTTTTTTTATTGGTTTGGTTCAGTTTTTAAAATGGTTTGGATCGTTTGGACATTATGCACATCCCTATCCGTCTTATCATTAATCATCAATAAACCAATTATAATTATGACTTGTAAGGTTGTAAGAGATCCTCTGGTTCAAAAAATACATGAAATAACTTAACAGGAAAAAATGGGGAAATGAAAATGTCTAAATCCTCGTAATTATTTTAATAGATCTCTTAATAAAAATTATTAAATATTTTTTGAATTAGAATAAATAGGTAATTGGTCCTAATTTGATGCCTCAAGTTTTACAAAGCAATTGGATACTGCTTTTCTTAAACTAAGAACCAATAAATGAATAGGCCATACTCTGCAGCATGACAAAACTTAAGTGAATATTCATTATCCATTACATTAAGGGTTTTGCAAATGTCCTGTAACAGGAACATTCATATATCATGTCACTGAAATAAGTTTTTGTGGGACCCGCTAAATAATAGAAAAAATAAATAAATAAAAAACATTGCACGGAAACCAATCTGAGTGCAGGAGCTAAACAAAATTTTCTGTAACATAA